AAATTTCAATAAAATAATAATGTAAAACATTACAAAACGTGAGTAAATCTTAGGTTTTATTTAAACTTTAGGTTGTTTCTTTTTTGGTAAACCGAAACCGAAACTAACTTAAGCAACGTTTCCTTCGTCGTAATTGTTTGCGTGTGTGTGTGTGCATGCGCATGCGTGTGTTTGTGCCCTCGCGTGTGGATGCGTCCGCGTGCATGCGCGTGTGCGTTTCTGGTTGTGCATCCGTGTGCGTCTGCGCGCGGGCGTGGGTTTGCGCGTGTGCATGCGTGTGTACGTGCGTGCGCGCGTGTATGTATGCGACTGCGAGCGCGCAAGCGTCTGTTTGTGCGTTCTATTGCACTGCGCCCGCAAGAAGAACAATTGGATGTCCCGGGACATTGTTAAAACACTAACTTATTGATTATTATTATTATTATTATTGTTGTTGTTGTTGTTATTGAAACATAGCCCTGAGACTTTAGACACAGGGCCCTAAACTTTTCTATAGACAATTGCAAGCATGGCGCCATAAGTGGTGCCCCATGCGTGCAAGCGCGTGCAACGCGCGGGTGAACGTAGCTTCGGCAAGCTCGTAATCGCACGGGCGTGCCTGCTCGAGCAGAGACATGGCGGCGGCCAGTCGCCCAGCTTGCAATCGTCTATAGCTGGCTGTAGCTGTATCTATAAATTTTTGAGGCCGACCATGCAAAGCTACAGGAGGTGATAGCCTCCCATTGAATTTCCCATAGACGCCATACGCAATTTTTTATGGGATGTCTCGGACTGGTTTATTATGGGATTTGCCTCTTTAAGGCCGGTTCTCACATGCAGCGAAGCGCTGATGTAGCGCTCCTCACGTGTCGTCAGCTACTTATCGTCTGCCATGAGCAACAGTTTGGACGGTGCGACACAAAGCTGGTGAACGCTCGCATCAGCGCGCGCTTAGCGCGAGGTCAGCGCTATGCTTGTAGCGCTCCGCTGCATGTGTGAACAGGCCTTTATGTGTGTGAGTTTTTGTGCATGTCACCATATTCTCAAATGAATATTTTACTCGGGTTGGCATGGTCATGTGACAGGTTCTAGCAGCATGCCATGAATATTTGTCGAACATTTTCACAATATTTTGATTTCATGTTGCCAGATATAAACTCGAGACTAACTGATTTTCTTACTGTACACTTCCATCAATAAATATTTGTAAAAAATGCTAGTATAGAGCATTTCACCCTACTTTCCGATTTCTGAGCATGGAGTGATTTGTAAGAAAATTAAATATGAACTCATATATAAAATTTTGTTTGCAAACATAAAAATTGTATGCAAAAAAGCACTTTATTATTAGCTATTTGCATGAATTACAACTGACATTATAAGAAACTAGACTGCTAACAACTGTTGCTTTTCAAGCAGAAATCTTACCTGTACATTATGTACAGAGCCACATATAAGCTTTCCAAATCGTTTCACATTATTTATTCAGCACCCTCTTCTACGCCCTTCTCACATTCTTCACTAAATGTAGGGTGTAACACGAAACAGCACCTTTTTCGGTAAAATTATGAGGTTGTATTCCTAGTTTTTAGGGTGTTAAAAGGGTGTAGCCGAGGGTGTAAGTTGCTACAACACCCGTCTTACACCCTTAAAGGTGTAAGAACTTTTACTGTGTAGTACGGCCGAGCATCACTGGCGTCAATCACCACGATAGCGTCAATAGCGTCACGGCGTTGCCCACCACCCGCCAACAACCACGTTGTTAACAACAAAACCAGCGTCCTGCACATTTAGGTCGAGATGTTCATTTTCTTTTTCTTTTACGCGTGGTTCGATTTTGAACGTTTCCGTTGCGGTTTTAACCGAAGCTGTTAGCTTTCCTTGGCTCAGGAAATCAGTATCCTAGCACCTATATGAAACATTACTGAGACTAGCTTAAGGTTAATCAATATATGAGAGACGTCTTGTTTAGGCTCTTCCAAAACGCAAAGCCTGAAATATCCAATCTTACCCGATTCAAGCACCAGCTGATCGGGGTGCGTGGCTAGCGTGGCGGTTTACTAAGCTGAGTGCATTGATACACCTATAGGTTTTTAAGGTAGAGAAGGGGGCTTATGGTCGGTATACAGGTACACTGGCTGGGTAACGGAGGGTGCGTCTTCCAGGAAAGGGGAGCATGTGCGCCCGATGCACCCGACTACAACTTTTTTTTCTTCGAGTGCAGTTGGGAAGTAAATATGTGGAGCACTAACTGAAAAATCGCGGATGTGGTATTCGCGCTAAGAGGGCCGCGCAGCGACAGAGCGGTATTGTTCGCGCGAAGATGACGTCGCGCTGCTTTCGTATTTTATTTTCATAGAACAACGACGGGCACAATATTTTCCCACTTATAGTAATGTTCCAAATGAACATATCGCACGACAGTGCTAGTTAAGACAATAGCCTTTCAAGTCTAACGAAAAAAAAAACTGAATAAAACGGTGATCGTTTGCTTGCGCTAACAGTGTTCGCGCGATGCACGCACTAATATTCTGCCAACCACTCACTCGTGATGCTTCTCTCGCTGCCCGTCGTTATGCCAAAGTTTCGTCAACGCGATGAACGTTTAGATTATGGGTGTCCCTGCGGCCAAACTGAAAGTCAGCACTTTTGGCAGAACACTTGTCGGCCATGTTTATGTCCACGGCGGCCAAGCTGAGAATCAGCACTTCTGGCCAAACACTCGCCGGCCGTGTTTATGTTTCCGGCGGCCAAGCTGAAAATCAGCACTGCTGGCCAAACACTTGCCGGCCGTGTTTATGTCTCCGGCGGCCAAGCTGAATATCAGCACTGCTGGCCAAACACTCGCCGGCCGTGTTTATGTCTCCGGCGGCCAAGCTGAAAATCAGCACTTGTGGCCAAACACTTGCCGGGCGTGTTTATGTCCCCGGCGACCAAGCTGAAAATCACCACTGCTGGCCAAACACTTGCCGGCCGTGTTTATGTCTCCGGCGGCCAAGCTGAAAATGAGCACTTCTAGCCAGGCGCTTGCCGGCAGTGTTTATGTCTCCGGCGGACAAGCTAAAAACAGCTAGTTTGTGGCCGGACCCTTGCCGGCCTTGTTTATGTCTCCGTTGGCCAAGCACTTAAAGTGGCCAAGCTGTCCAGACACTGGCCAACCGTCGGCCGATCGAAATTCACTTTCTGGTGCTGCTTGGGAAGTATCCAATGACTGGAAACTGCGGAAAAGTGCCAGAGAATAGCGAAGTTTAGAATACGATTAAACACAAAAACTGCAGTGCGCACTGGGGCAATGAGCTAGTGAATCGTCACGCTCATTGTTCCTGCCCGGATCACATATTTCACAAATTATCGTTTTATAGTCATGTTTTAAATTATTTCCGTTCTTCGTTGTCGTTTTACGAGAAAGTGTAAGAGAAAAATACCAGTTTCTATCATTCTGTGGGGTCTAAACATTTAGTGGAAGCCGCCGTCGGTCGATAGAAAGAAGCGAGAGTACCCTTTCGGTGCTGATTTGCATATTCCGGTGAATGTTCACAAGCGCAGCCCCAATTAGCGGCGAGATGTTTTAGTGGCGCCCTCGTATGGTTTCCTCTCGTGACGTCATTACCTTACGAACAACAAGTTCGACGGTGTTTAGAATTAGCATGGTGGAAGCTTGAGATCATTGCGCTCTTAAACCAACACTGCCAACCCCGTCAAAATTGAAGTTCTTACATTGCTCTTATTTCTTTCAATGAGAAAACCTTTGCTGACGTCATAGTGACCATTCGGTCAATCGTGGAAGGCCGATCACAGCGACGCTTTTGATCGCGCACATCGCCAATGCTGCGTTCATCATTAAGCTCAAACTAGAAGCTCCGCTTTAAGGCCCGTTCACACTGGACAATTTCTTGCGTTTTCTTACGTTACGTTACGTTACGAATTCCTTACGACGACTTACGAGCGCCCGTTACTATGGCAACCAGCGACGCAGCGCCCGTCGTAACGTAACAGAAGGAGTTGGGCTCCGCTCAACTTTTCTTGCGACCGCTTACGTTCAACCAATCGGGACTGGAGGAAGCGAAGCCCCTGCGCATGCGCGCTGAGCGCGGGACCAGTCGCTTTTCAAAATGGCAGCGCAAGGTGGTCTCCTGTCGATTCACCAAGCCCTCATTGCCGAGGTAGAAAAGTACCCATGGCTCTGGGACGCCCGAAGGCCGGAGTACCGGCTGCCAAGTATGAAAGAAAACTCTTGGAAAGCTATCGGGGCCTCTCTGAGTAAGTTTCGTCGCATTCTTCTGTTCCAAAAATACGAAAGAGTTAGACAAAGAGGACGGACAGGACAAACATTGCACATGCGTGAAGGCGCGTACGGGAAGCTAAAATTCGTCTCGAAGGTGTATTGGGTGTATTCTGCGGTGCGGTTCAAGAGCGGGAACGAACTATATCGCCCGATTTTCGCACGGCCCGAGTGTTAACAAAAATCACAGTCCGACTAGCGTGCGCTCGCAACTACGGTCAGCCAGAAAATACTGGCGCCAGAAGTTGCAACAATTTATGGACATACTGGAAGACCCTCAAATAGTAAAAAATAAAAAAAAAATAAAAACGGACGAAGACAACAAAATTTTAAAAGCGGCTGAATTCCTCACCAGCTCGCCTGCACTTTATCGCTACAAAGAATTATGAAAGTTCTACGTTTTGTCGTACATCCCATCGTGCAGTGCAAGCGTAGCAAGCTGTCACCCTCACGCTTGAAAATATGTTTGGTTTTGGGGTGAAACGTGGCAGAAAGCTTTATTTGAGATTAGTTAGTAAAAAACAAAATCAAAATATTTCTTTTTCAAGTTGTACTAACAAGTTTTTAAGCATTGGTATGCAACTGGAGCAGCTGTTACTAAAGGTTGTACCATACCAACTGAAATGGTGGCCACATCAACTGAAATTTCGCATGTTGAATGGAAGTCTCCATTGTGGGGGATGCTGAAAATTTGGAAATGACTACAGTTTGGCCTTCTGTTACAGAAATGGATCCTGCCGAGTGCCTTCACATGTGGCAGAAGATTAGAGAAAGGTACGGGCGGGAGTCAAGAACCAGCTGTGGCCGCAGTGGTGCTGGGCGAGATGAGGTGCAGCGGCCCAGCTGGGACCTCTTCCCGTACCTTCAATTTTTAGCAGGCCAGATACGTCGCAGAGGGTACTGTTTGTTCTCTACAAGGTTTTATTGACAACTATAAATATGATTTCTTTGTGTTCATTCAATATGCTGTTTTCTACTAGAACCAAGGCCCGCAAGATGGTTGGCAGCGCTGGCCCTGCCACAGGGGTATTGGAGACACCAAGGGGTATGTGAAATAGTTGGCAACATTGACTTTTAACAAAGTCTGTTACTCTCAATTTAGAAATCAAAGTACATTTAGGCATTGGTGTGTGAGTGGTTTCATGAATTTTGTGCTCACTCATGTTCAACATTTACATTGTGTTTCAACATGCAGATCTCCTCATGGGGGTCTACACGCCATGTGGGGGAGGTGCCACCGAAGACATGGCAGAGGAAAGTTGTGAAGCCAACCTGGACGACGTAAGTGCATTGTCTTGAAGCAACCTGTTTTAAGTGCAGTGCAGGAATGTGCCCATTTTCTTTGTAGAACTCCCTCGATCGTAGCCTGCAGCCAACGGGCACCTGCCAGGTGTTGCTGACGCTGGAGGGGGATGGCCAGCTGCCCAGCCCATCTCAGCTGGACCCGACTCCTCCGGTGTCACCACCCCAGGTGGCCCCAGTGGCAGCACCGATGCAGGCTACGGTCTTGCCCGCAGTGCCTCCACACCCGCCTTCAAGGAAGCCAGGCCGCAAGATTACCGCCTCGGAGCGTCGTGCCCGGGAGGATGCAGCGCTGGGCAAGGTTCTTAGTGAATCTACGAGGCAAATGGCCAACACATGTAAAAGGCCACACATTGATGCCTTAACCCCAGAAATGGCACTGGGGTTTCATTTTGCCAACGAGCTGGCGGCCCTTCCACCACATCTGAGGTGCCTTTGCAAGGAGAAAGTACTGAAGGTGTTCCACGAATTTGAAAAAAGAAATCTAGTAGAAAAAGGCCTTATGTCTTTAGATTAGAGTAGAAAATGATATTTTTGACAAGGTTTGCCTATACAGTCATGGCTCATTAATATGGACACCTCCATTCCCTGAAAAAATCATCCGTAATAACAAATCGCAGTCTATACCCGTTTTCACCTCAAGAACCGAAGTAAAAAAAGTTTGGCTCCTCGCGGAGCATCACTACTTTTTCCTTTTATGAGGAGAATTAATATATATGTAGGTGCATTTTAGATTAGATATATGTAACTTTATCAAGATGTATACGTTTCAAGCGCCAAAAGCATCGCTTCTTCCTCCGACAACCAAATCTTGTAAGAACTACTACGCCCGGCGTATGAACAATGCGTAAAACGTCCCTTTTTCCTTGAGGTGAAAACGAGTATAGAACGCATGCAATTATTAGATAACGAGCGTAGACAAGATCGTTCAGCCTTTCCACTCTCGTGAAAAAGGAAGACCAGCGGAGCTGTGCTCGATACACTGTGTGATTCTTCTTCGTCGTCGTCCGTTTTTCGCGCTGTTTCCTATGATGAATTCCTACCAACGCGCCCAACTATCCATTCTTCTATTACAGCTGGAAAGGTTGCCGCCATCTACGATCGACGGCGGAAATCATTCTGGTTGTGTGCTTGCCGCCATTGGTTATAGATGGCGGTAGCTGTCCAGGCAGGTTTGTGTCGACATACCGGACACGATCCTGGGGAACCTAGCCCTTAACAGCTCCGCTGTAAAAAAGCATGGTATATTTAACCACAAATTTATGGGATGTAAGTTTTCAATGTTACTTTTCGGCCCACTTTTCTGCCGAGAAAGCGTGCACAGTCAATCTTGCAAAAGTAAAGCCAAGCTTTTTTTTTTTTTTTTTATGAGGGGGTGGGTCTTTAACATATTGCACATGTCCTGAAGTCTTTTCAGTTTTGAATTTGTATATCTCTTTTTCTGAGCTGAGCTAACAGCTTTGTTTGCTTACATTTCACACTTGCCATGGCCTCTGACCATTTTGCTTCCCACCAGATATTGTCTTTCCCACTTCCTAACTGACCACAAAACCGTGCAACCTTGCTTTTTATGCACTAAGAGTGCATCTGACAAATGAATGGGATTTATCACATGCCGTCCTTGACCTCAAACAACAATCGGGGGGGGGCAAAGGGCACATTAAGGCTGAAAACCTTACCATCTTTAGGTAGGCAGGTCTTATCTCAAGACAGGCCACAAACATTTGTGTACAGACTGTGACCTCTAGGGTTCACATTGTTTGTGTTGACCTATTTTAGAAAACTTTCATTCATATTAAAGAGACAAGAATGCATGTATATTCCCAATTCATTCCCCAAAAAAGTGGTCCATAGTTCGGATTGTGGGTTTCTATATTAACGGGGCACAATTACATAACAGCAAATCCCTCTGTAAAATTTTTTTTCAAAATTGCAGAGCGTTTATAATAACAGGGTCCATACTAATGAGATGTGACTGTATATACTTGTTTGCCAAACTAACCTCAACCTTGTCAAGTTGCCACTTTATTTTCGGGAGGGCCATTTGAGTATAGAAGTTTTAATGAATTTGATTACAAACAGGAACACCACATTTATGTGGTGTTCCTGTTTGTTCCAGTAACACGGCTACGGTTCCTGTTCGAGTAACACGGCTACGGTTCCCATTGTATGCCTGTTTGTAGCCGGTGGTCTGTTTGAATAAAAAAGCATACAGCTCAGAAAGGAAAAAAAATAACGGGTAAGCTTTCATGTATATACTCTCCAAGAATAAATAAGCAGATATTGCCTCTGTAGATAAAAGAAACCTAAATAGTACCTTGAATTTAGAACCATATTTAGATTGAAAACAACAAACCTTGCCCAATGATTTCATGCCGGGTAAAAGGCCTCTTGCAATATTTGTTACCCTTTTAGTTTCCACTCTTGTTGCTTAATGGCTTCCTACTTTGCTGGGTGCATTGAAACTTTATATTGTGTTTTTGTTTATATTGAGACCTGCCAACCAAGTGCAATATGTTTATTTTGTTCCTATTTACTTTAAGTGTGATAATCTATTGTCATTGACAGGTCGAGAACGGAGTATGAGTGGGAGAGGAGGAACCAGACGGGAGGTTGGAGCTGAGGTTTTTCCTCTCCACCCCAAGCTTTCGCCTACCCCCTCCTCTCCCACTCGGTTTTTACCCTCTTACTGACTACAGACTACATATGTACTTCTTTCCTTGCTTCCCAATACAAAGTACTCACAGCTAGTACTTACCAAATAAAGAAACTATTTTGGGATAGTTCTGTGTCATTTAATTAACACATTTCTCTACATAATTTGTCATACACAAACTGAAAAAAATGAATGATCCCATTGAAAACTATGTCGCATGCCAGCAAAGTAATAATGAATAATATAGACTATCCGAGATGCTATAATGTACTATAGTGACCAGTATGCTGGCTGCTATAGTACATCAGTGCATGCCAGCACTCACTAAACAAAAAAACAAAAAAAAAAGCAATGCCTACAGGCATATTCTTGCTATATTTTGTTCTTTCGTTCTACGACCATGCATTGCTTGAAGCTTGCACCAAAGCATTTGTTTTTATGTCCCATAATGTCGCCATGTACCTTCAGTTTTCATAAATATGCCCCAGTGTGATCACACATTATACTTTTCCTGCATTACAATTGTCGCCTGTGTTCCGTATAGGTTTGGTCAGCACTTTGACTGAAATCTCGGCTACTTCGTGCTTGCTTCATCAATTTTTGGGCACCTCTGGCAGCAGAAAGCAATACTGCCTCGAACTCAAGGCTGTGAAATCATTTATGAGGTCAAACATATTAATGGTAATGCTCGATACAGAATGCAGAGAAACTGACAACACTTGCAACTATTCCAACAAAATGCTACACAGCAAATAAAATGGGGTCACCGAAAAAAGAAAAACACATTTCTGGCAAGGCATGGGGAAAAAACAGCTTCAGCCAACCAACCCGAGCATCGAACTGACACCTGTAGCAAGCTCCTGTTGGTGTGTATTCCTACTTGGGACAACCAGACTGGGTGGAGCGCTTTCTGTTCACTCAAGGCCACACGAAAAATTCCTCATTACTTTGGATTTTTTGAAGTCACATAGTGCCAATATGCTTGAAAACCCACAAAGCATTTTTGTCACCTCGGACGAAAATTTCATAGTAAGATATTTGAAAGTACGCTTAAAAAAAATCCTCTGGAGAAAGCAATAACCTGAAAGAATATTTAAAGCACCTGGTCAAAGGCGACTAACAAATTCCGTCTGGTTTTCTTCGCGAGTTCCCCAAGACAACCAAAAATAACTGACTGTTTCAGGGACTTCCAACGCTGTTATTTCACTGACCTTTCATGTGTATACGAGGTAAGTAAGATAAACAGAAAACGAGTAGTCTAACCATGACACTGCGCGTCATTAAAACTAATATAAAATATGTATTTCTCTGTGGATCGCATTTCCATGACCGGATGACGACCAAACAGTCGTGCTTCTCCTGCGTTAATTTTCCTGCTCAACGAAAAAATTGCTGGCACTCATCTTTGCTCCATAAAACACATCCAGTGCGCCAAGGTTGAAAGTGCATTATAACTTCATTAAAAATATTTCTAAATATTTTACATGTAAGTGATGGCGTATTAAACACTGGACAATAGTTTCTGAAATAATAAAAAAAATGTGCCAAACGCACAAAAAAACATGAATACACTACATTTCCTCGGCACGAACAGCTACAGATAGTCGAGCAAGAAACTTCATTCATTTTATGGCGGCCATGTCACGTCGTCCCAAGATGGGACGTGATGGGACGTCATCCCAAGATGGGATATGGCAGCGGGTGAAAAGGTCCCCAGGGCCAAAGGTACAACTAGAGCGACTGTACATTGTGATAAATAATTGGTGACGATGCCAACAGGGCAATTTCCCGGAAATAACCTTTGCATATGCAGTGAGTGGCCTTAGGGACAACTGGGTGCTTGGACAGCTGGTGTCAAGCCTTTGTAAACATTTTTGTACTGCCATGTAACTTCGCCAGCGGGGCAGCAGAAGTACCGAGCGTATGTCTGCCTCACCTTCTTGGCATCGTCATTGTACATGTTTGAGCTTGTGCGGCCCACGTCTACAAGGGCACCGCCATCGTTCACCTCGGCCCTCCACTGGCCAAGCACCACATTCCCAAGCACACCTTCTTGGTCGGCATAGCCAGCAGGGCAGTAGCGGCGTTCCCCTTGCTCACTCTCGTCACACGTCCTCAGGTAGTTGTGCAAGCTGACGCATGCCCAGACAATCGCTTCCAGATTCTCCTCTGAGGCCTGGATCGGCTGCCTGAAGATGCGCCATCTTGCAACCAAGATGCCAAAGGTGTTCTCTATAACCCTCCGTGCACGTGAGAGCCTATAGTTGAACACCTTTGGCACCACCGTGAGGTCTTTCCTTGGATAAGGGCGCATGAGGTTTGGGAGCAGGGGGAACGCCTCATCAGCCACAAACACGTAGGGCAGCTTAGTGCGTGTTCCAGGGAGGTGTGCAGGGGGGGGAAGGTCAAGGCCTCCAGTCATTAAGGACTGCCCCATTTCGGAGCCCCGAAAAATGCCCCCGTCGCTGAAACGACCTGGCTGGCCGACATCCACAAGTGTAAACTTGTATGTAGCATCACAACTTGCAAGGAGGACGATGCTGTGGAATCCCTTGTAGTTGTATGTGTCGGAGCCTGCGCCAGGGAGGGCTTGGATGGTCACGTGTTTCCCATCCACAGCTCCGACACAGTTGGGGAAATTCCACAGCCTTGCGAAGTTGCCTGCCATCCGCTCCCACTGGGCCATGTTGGGAGGCTAGAACAATAATGTACTTATGAGTTGTGGTCAGTTCGACCGCCACATGAAAACCACACTCAAGGCACTGGACCGGACACCAAGAAAACAAGAACGCTGTTTCAATAGAGAATTCAAGGCTAGGTGTTTGTGGTTACAGAACACAATACAGTTAGAAAAGCAATTCACGAAACTTGCAACATCCGAAATGGCAGCACAGCCCTTGCTGTGGTTTTTCCAAATATTGCGATTCTGCTTATATTGTCACGTCCGCACTTGCTTCCACCACCAAGTGTCTTCCGCGACTATGTTGACAAGAGGCTTATTTTGCTATGTGGATTGCAAAGGTCGATCTAACGCAAAAGTTAACCTACCCTAGCCTGGGACGAGGCCGTGTCAGAGCTAAAAGCAGCCG